ACGTTCCTAGAGCACAAACTGTTATAGAGAAAGACAGTACGTTCCTAGAGCACAAACTGTAATAGAGATAGTCAGTACGTTCCTAGAGCACAAACTATAATGGGTAAAAACAAAGTTGGTCAGACAAAGTAACATACGCCCACTGGCAGCTTGAAAACACAGTCTTTAGTGTCTAATTTTATCATATATAAGCAAATTGGGTTTGACTCTAGATACAAACTGTTTCCTCTATCGTGTCATCATATATAAATTTCTCAAGGGCAATAACTCAGAAACCAAAATCAAATTATTGTCATTATCAAACTTGACCAAGATCTCATTATTATATTGTTATATATATGCATACCAGGTTTCATCCAGTTGAGATAAAAAAAAACTGTAGCCTCTTTCATGTCTGAAAGCCAAATTTGAATTGTTTTTATTAATTCAAGAGCAACAACTTTTGCTTGATACTTTCTGTACAATGTGTAAACTACAACGAAGATAATCAAAATCACCACCAAAACTGTTAAGATTATGATTGTTATATCTTTATCTGAAACTAAATCCAATAACTTTATGTTTCGGGAACACGAACGGTCATTGGGGGCGGTGATGAAACTCTTACTGGTTTGATATTATAAATCCTATCGGCAACGCTATAATCTTGTCGTGGATTTCAAATTAAAACGAAAGTAAGGCTGCAACGATTCACCGATGAATCGATGAACCCCGATTCTTACCTTCTTATCGATGCATTGCGTTGGATAAAAATAATCGTGATGTATCGGGACGATTAATTCTTAATCCCCTTTAATAACAAATAACACAGAATCCTTGTGTGTATAAGAAATTGTGTCATGTTTTCATTTTCACATTAAAATTTGCAAAAATTCATTTCTGACTTTAAAACATGAGATTTTTTTCACAATTCCTTACTTTTAAATATTCTCAAGTGCTTAATAGTGACAAACTTGTTAGTAATTTTACAAATTTCTACTATTTTTTTCTCTTTCCTTCTCTAATAAACGCATCACGGTAATAATCGCAATAAATCGTATTGTTGGATGAGTATCGTATAGTGTATCGAATGGCAACTTCAAGAATCGTTGCAGTCCTAAACGAAACAAATCAATAGCCTATTGCTTTTCGTTCTATGATATTTTCCTTCTGATTCAAAGCATGATCCAAACAACAATAATTTAATTTCAACGCAAACAATAAAACAGACCACACAATAAAACTTAAAAAAAACACCTAGAAATTTATCACTATCATAATAACGACAAGATAGTTTGATTTTCAGAGTTGCTTCCCTTAACTGTCTTACTAACAGGTCTACTCAAATGTGCATGAACACAATTAACGCAATGGTGTCAGCACCATATCACTAACCTATACTTCCATCTCCATCTTTAGAGTCTTCTTTAATAACAGTACAATCAGTTCCTTGATATCCATCCTGACAATCACATGCTCCATCTATATTATTACACTGATCTTCTGATTGACAAAATCTTGCTGAACAATTTGATGAACAATTATACCTATAGAATCCTTCATCACATTCTAAATATAGTAACAGATACATACAGAACAGTATGAACCACCAGTTGGACTGAGGCTGTTACTGAGACCTGTTCCAAGGACCGCCCCCTTGCTATGAGGTGTAAGGACCACCCTCTTCCTATGAGGTGTACGGACCGACCGACCTTTTCCTAATGGTGTTGGGACTGCCCTTTTCTTATGAGGTGTAAGGATCACCCTCTTCCTATGAGCTGTTAGGAACCCAGCCCCCCCCCCCCCTTTTTCTTATGAGGTGTAAGGACCGCCCTCTTCCTATTTGGTGTAAGGACCTCTCTCCTCCTATGAGGTGTTAGGACCCCAGCCCCCCTTTTCTTACGAGGTGTAAGAGCCACTCTTTTCCTATAATTGTCAGGATCACCATCTTCCTATGATGTGTATCACATGGTGCAGAAAAGTAGGACGTAAAACTCCATTCATATCATTTCCTATGATGTGACATGACCGTCATAAATAAGTCAGACCGCAATTTTCTCAAGGTTTAAATTCTTTGATAGGGTGCAGAACTAAAAAGATATT